GACATACGCCGTTTATATCCGCTAGGAGGAGCCGGGCGACGCCCATTCAAATCCTTTTCCCAGCAGCGGGTTGCCGTATGGCCTGTATGACCGCCGTTCGTGCATTTGTAATCCTTTATGTCCCGATTGTTCGGGGCACGATTAACCAGAGCCCATGTCTGTGAGGAGCTAGACTTCATGTTGGCTCGTTGCTCTTCCTGCAGCAGACGACTTTTCACAAAGTCCAAACTGAATATCTTTTCCTCATTACCGAGAGCATCTAGTGCAACAATGAGAGCCTCGAAACGGGCAGGCAGACCGTTGAGCACTGCCATGGCCATCTCCTTGTCATCGATGTTTACGCTCATTGACTTGAGGATGGCTGCCAGCTGCTTGACACGATTGATGTATGCAAGCACCTTTTCACCGGAAAGCATCTTCACAGTGTAGAACTCACGACGTGCAGCTAATTTGTTCAGCAAAGTGTGCCTCTCAAACACGTTGACAATAGCTTCCCACATGTCATGAGCAGTATCAACATCACGTACATACTCAAGATGCTCATCTGATAGGGAGAGACCAATTAGTGCTTTAGCTTTACTGTCACCTCTGATCCACTTCTTACGCTCTTCCGCGCGTTCCTCACTTGGAACTCTTCCCTCAACGATGTATTGGTCAACATCACGTAGAGCAAGCAGAAGTTGTATTTTCTGCTTCCACACGTAGAAGTTGGAGTCCGTCAGTTTGTCGATTCTGATGGATCCTCCTCCTCCTTGATCTTCCATTTTAGTGCAAATAAACTTCAAGTATTCGAAAATCCGTTCGGGGATCCCAAGCCGTTAACCGATAGTCAACACAATGGCAAGCCCACCCGTCTAAGAAATTCGATATGATTACTATGAAGTTGCACTAGGAGAAATTTGCGAACAGATATGTGAATTTATTTGGATGGAATCCCTAACTATTCTGTTCACAAACTACCTTTAAGTGTGCGGCACCGTTCTCGTGGCACTTCAGGTGCCCGTGAGACTCAAAGACGCGATTGCAAGGGATACAACGCGGAGTCTTCTTAGCGTTGGCAACGTGAATGCGATGAGACCTAGAGTGAATGTGGTCGTAAAAGGCCTTCGCACTATTGCCACTAACGCCGCACACTTTACAATACCGCTTATACCGCGGGCACACCTTACGATTCCTCTTGCGCTCACGCTTAAACTCTTTATCCGCGAGAACAGCCGCTTTCCGAGCAGAAAGTCGATGCGTAGTTCTCTTTATTGGTGCCGGAACAGAGCGCGGAATACGAGGAATCCTATATGGTGCGCAACTCGAGGACGGACCCGGAAGCGCGAGCCGAGGTGAAGGTTGATCCTCAGGCTCAAGCACCTCAACGGATACGACCTCCGATGTCCGAACCGTTCGACCGGTGACCAGCTTCCCAGGCGCAGAGCGCACCGGTACTAATTCCAGATCTAACACAACCCGTAAAAACAGGTATTCACAATAAGGAATATGAAGATAATCGTCAGTAACAGATTTTGGAATTATTGCTCTTAAGAACCACCAAAACGTGCAAAGACAATCACTTAGATGTGTAGGAAATGGAAAGAAACTCAAAACTTACTTTGCATGAGAGAACGAAGAAAAACCAAATGCGAGGTTGACGACGACGGCGGTAGCGGGAGCGGAAACGAAGACGAAGACCAAAGACAGAGACAGCAGCAACAACCACAGCAAGAACAAAAGCCAAACCAAGAACGAAGACAACGAAGACAGCGGGGGCGATGACCAAAACCAATTCACACAACAGAGCAAGAACGACAGCAGCAGCGAAAACCAAAACCAAGAACGACGGCAAGAACGAGAGCGACAACGACAGCGAGAAGACCAGCGGAAAGAACGACGAGAAACGGCAGCGAAAACGACAGCGACAACGACGGCAGAAACAACGGAACGAGAACGACAGACTCATGCAGTGAAACGACAGCGAGGGACTGGGCCCATAACCTAATGGTAGGTTCGGAGGGGCAAGGGAAAGAAGGAAGGCAGGTTGATGTGTGTGAGTGAAGGAGTTGGTGCCGAAGTTTACTTTGAAGCCGTTTTCCTGCGATACTTATACACTTCGAGTGCTACACTATCGCTCTACTCCGACTCCCAGTAAACCATACTCTACTATGCGCGACCAAGCGCGGTCCTCTTGTGGCCCGACCATACTGTTCGATTTCCACCTTACGAATCGATTCGTAACTATTAGCTCACAACTATTTCTACACATTCCAAATGACTGTAAACCATGGCCCTATGCATGCAACTGTTTCACACCTTACTAATCTGCATCCAGTCATGCCAGACTTCATTGTTGTGCAACGAACAACTTGGCACTTGTCTATTTCCAACAACGCAAACGTCTTTCATATCACAATCGCCATACGTATCCTTGTTTCTCACCTTACTAATTTCGCCAAGCACTGTCAGATAATTATGGCAAGTTATAACAATGCGCATCCAGACTTTCTACACAACTCACATGAGAATACATATAAATCACACGAGTACTGTCATGAACTTGCATCCAACGGCGCACCATGACGAGAGCACAGTGCAACGGCGCGTGCTCACGCAAGACTCGCATACAGCGTGACGCGTACACAGAATAATCGCACAACTGTATTCCTCTCGCGAGAAGTACTTGTTGTACTTTTGATTCACATGTACTGTACTCGGACACGCCCAGGATCGCAAACAGTCTGACACTGTAAAACTGTAAACCCTCATGTCCATACACCTGGATGCGTGTACATGTGTACGTACACGAATCCACCTGGCGACGTGTACATGTGTACACGGCATACATGTGTCCCGCCCGGGGGCCCCATGCAATTACCCATTACAACCATGGCAAACCACTTGAAACCCCCAAAAGAACGTAATTATGGCATATACAGGCCATTTAAAGTACATCACAAGGCCAATGACGCACACGTGGACAACGCCCGACCAATACATTTGCAGCATTAGACCTGAGGGCCAATAGAATTGCAGTATTTCCTGTGTAGTCTATAGTGCTACGGGCCAAGGTTCCACTTGGCAAAACTATGCAAATTTGCATGACCCTCCCAGAGGCCACTTTCGTCCCCGGAACCCCAAAATCTGGGATTTTACACGTGTCATGTCGTGATATGGGTAAGAGCGCCCGGACCGTGCAGTCATGTACACGTGTCACTTGATTTTGACCTTTTCAGATAACAGCATGTGGTCGCACATTTTCAATACCTCGCTCAAGTCAGATTCCTAATGGCACCAGCCTTTCACCAAGAGCGAGGGTATGTTCCACTGAGGATTTGGCAGTGCGTTGGCCACTAGGGACATTCTTCCTCCCGACTAGCGGAAGGCTCACCCACAGCTCACACAACGACTGCCACGACAAAGCAAAAAACTGAGCACTGACGGACCACCAAACTGAAAAATCGGCTGAAAGGGTGCTGAAAACGACGGCCAAAACTGAAAAAACTGAAAAACCAAACTCGAAAGCGGAGACTGCAACTGATACCTTCTTCTTCTGCTTGACGAGCTGAACAAACTGATACTTGAACGACGGCGAAACTCGAACTTGAACCAAAACGAAGACGACGATCAGCGTTGAACTGGGCCCATAACCTATAGAAAGGTCAGCGGGGCAGAGGGAAGAAGGATGGTTGAAGGTTGCTGGTGGTTGACGGGAAAAGAAGTTGATACCATTTTACTCTTGGTCGCCAACTATTGGCGCTACTTATACTCTTCGAACTACATACAATACGAGCCATTAGGGCTGGTCACGTGACTCTCCTTCTTGCACTCGTTGATAATCAAGTGACTCTCCCTGTTGCACTCTCGGTTGATAATCAAGTGACTCTCCTACTTCCACTCTCGGTTGATAATCAAATGACTCTCCTTCTTGCACTCTCGGTTGATAATCAAGTGACTCTCCTACTTCCACTCTCCGTTGATAATCAAATGACTCTCCTTCTTGCACTCTCTCTTGCTAATAATTTGGGACCGTTTGAGAGTCAATAATATCTGAATGTACTGTACTGTAGATTACAGATTTTACACTACGATTAATAACCACTGTGGCACATACGTCATACGTGTCACACACGTGTCAAATCGAGAAAAATGAAACATGTTCAGAATGTACTGTAGAGTGCCACGAGGTACATAACTTACACGTGTCAACACCAAAATTGAAACATGCTCGGAAATGATAGGAAAGTGCAACTGTGTACAAATATGACACGTGTCCACCTTGAAGACCAAACATCCTGAGAATGCTCTTGCAAGTATTTTAGGTTTCGTCGACGTACACGTGTAATATCTGTCAGGCTTGGAGCTTAGCATGTGGTCGAAGATTTCCAACACAACGAGTGGGTACGTGTTCAAGCTTTGTGATGGGCCTATCAGTTGGGCTTCCTGGAAACAAACAGTAGTTGCAAAGTCTACTTGTGAGGCAGAATACATCGCACTCAGTGAAGCATGCAAAGAGGCTGCGTGGCTTCGACGCTTCCATGCCGATGTACTTGGTGCGAATTCGGATCCAACAATTCGCGTTGGATGTGACAACGTTGGTACGATTGCGTTTGCTCAGAACGAATCTACAAATCGTCGGAACAAGCACGTTGATATTACGTATCATTTTGTTCGAGATGCGGTGCAGCGAAAACTGGTCACATTGTACCATTGTCCGACAACAGAAATGCCAGCCGATATGTTGACCAAACCACTTGGTCGCGTGCTGTTTGAAAAGTTCGTGGGCATGGTTGGGCTTTCCGAGTGCCAAGCTGCCCAAAGCATGTGATCGAGGGGAGGTATTGAAAATGTGCGACCACATGCCCTTATCTGGAAAGTGCAAATCGAGTGACACGTGTACATGACTCGACGGTCCGGACCCTCACCCCATATCACGACATGACACGTGTAAAATCCCAGATTTTGGGGTTCCGGGGACGAAAGTGGCCTCTGGGAGGGTCATGCAAATTTGCATAGTTTTGCCAAGTGGAACCTTGGCCCGTAGCACTATAGACTACACAGGAAATACTGCAATTCTATTGGCCCTCAGGTCTAATGCTGCAAATGTATTGGTCGAGCGTTGTCCACGTGTGCGTCATTGGCCTTGTGATGTACTTTAAATGGCCTGTATATGCCATAATTACGTTGTTTTGAGGGTTTCAAGTGGTTTGCCATGGTTGTAATGGGTAATTGCATGGGGCCCCCGGGCGGGACACATGTATGCCGTGTACACATGTACACGTCGCCAGGTGGATTCGTGTACGTACACATGTACACGCATCCAGGTGTATGGACATGAGGGTTTACAGTTTTACAGTGTCAGACTGTTTGCGATCCTGGGCGTGTCCGAGTACAGTACATGTGAATCAAAAGTACAACAAGTACTTCTCGCGAGAGGAATACAGTTGTGCGATTATTCTGTGTACGCGTCACGCTGTATGCGAGTCTTGCGTGAGCACGCGCCGTTGCACTGGGCTCTCGTCATGGTGCGCCGTTGGATGCAAGTTCATGACAGTACTCGTGTGATTTATATGTATTCTCATGTGAGTTGTGTAGAAAGTCTGGATGCACATTGTTATAACTTGCCATAATTATCTGACAGTGCTTGGCGAAATTAGTAAGGTGAGAAACAAGGATACGTATGGCGATTGTGATATGAAAGACGTTTGCGTTGTTGGAAATAGACAAGTGCCAAGTTGTTCGTTGCACAACAATGAAGTCTGGCATGACTGGATGCAGATTAGTAAGGTGTGAAACAGTTGCATGCATAGGGCCATGGTTTACAGTCATTTGGAATGTGTAGAAATAGTTGTGAGCTAATAGTTACGAATCGATTCGTAAGGTGGAAATCGAACAGTATGGTCGGGCCACAAGAGGACCGCGCTTGGTCGCGCATAGTAGAGTATGGTTTACTGGGAGTCGGAGTAGAGCGATAGTGTAGCACTCGAAGTGTATAAGTATCGCAGGAAAACGGCTTCAAAGTAAACTTCGGCACCAACTCCTTCACTCACACACATCAACCTGCCTTCCTTCTTTCCCTTGCCCCTCCGAACCTACCATTAGGTTATGGGCCCAGTCCCTCGCTGTCGTTTCACTGCATGAGTCTGTCGTTCTCGTTCCGTTGTTTCTGCCGTCGTTGTCGCTGTCGTTTTCGCTGCCGTTTCTCGTCGTTCTTTCCGCTGGTCTTCTCGCTGTCGTTGTCGCTCTCGTTCTTGCCGTCGTTCTTGGTTTTGGTTTTCGCTGCTGCTGTCGTTCTTGCTCTGTTGTGTGAATTGGTTTTGGTCATCGCCCCCGCTGTCTTCGTTGTCTTCGTTCTTGGTTTGGCTTTTGTTCTTGCTGTGGTTGTTGCTGCTGTCTCTGTCTTTGGTCTTCGTCTTCGTTTCCGCTCCCGCTACCGCCGTCGTCGTCAACCTCGCATTTGGTTTTTCTTCGTTCTCTCATGCAAAGTAAGTTTTGAGTTTCTTTCCATTTCCTACACATCTAAGTGATTGTCTTTGCACGTTTTGGTGGTTCTTAAGAGCAATAATTCCAAAATCTGTTACTGACGATTATCTTCATATTCCTTATTGTGAATACCTGTTTTTACGGGTTGTGTTAGATCTGGAATTAGTACCGGTGCGCTCTGCGCCTGGGAAGCTGGTCACCGGTCGAACGGTTCGGACATCGGAGGTCGTATCCGTTGAGGTGCTTGAGCCTGAGGATCAACCTTCACCTCGGCTCGCGCTTCCGGGTCCGTCCTCGAGTTGCGCACCATATAGGATTCCTCGTATTCCGCGCTCTGTTCCGGCACCAATAAAGAGAACTACGCATCGACTTTCTGCTCGGAAAGCGGCTGTTCTCGCGGATAAAGAGTTTAAGCGTGAGCGCAAGAGGAATCGTAAGGTGTGCCCGCGGTATAAGCGGTATTGTAAAGTGTGCGGCGTTAGTGGCAATAGTGCGAAGGCCTTTTACGACCACATTCACTCTAGGTCTCATCGCATTCACGTTGCCAACGCTAAGGAGACTCCGCGTTGTATCCCTTGCAATCGCGTCTTTGAGTCTCACGGGCACCTGAAGTGCCACGAGAACGGTGCCGCACACTTAAAGGTAGTTTGTGAACAGAATAGTTAGGGATTCCATCCAAATAAATTCACATATCTGTTCGCAAATTTCTCCTAGTGCAACTTCATAGTAATCATATCGAATTTCTTAGACGGGTGGGCTTGCCATTGTGTTGACTATCGGTTAACGGCTTGGGATCCCCGAACGGATTTTCGAATACTTGAAGTTTATTTGCACTAAAATGGAAGATCAAGGAGGAGGAGGATCCATCAGAATCGACAAACTGACGGACTCCAACTTCTACGTGTGGAAGCAGAAAATACAACTTCTGCTTGCTCTACGTGATGTTGACCAATACATCGTTGAGGGAAGAGTTCCAAGTGAGGAACGCGCGGAAGAGCGTAAGAAGTGGATCAGAGGTGACAGTAAAGCTAAAGCACTGATTGGTCTCTCCCTATCAGATGAGCATCTTGAGTATGTACGTGATGTTGATACTGCTCATGACATGTGGGAAGCTATTGTCAACGTGTTTGAGAGGCACACTTTGCTGAACAAACTAGCTGCACGTCGTGAGTTCTACACTGTGAAGATGCTTTCCGGTGAAAAGGTGCTTGCATACATCAATCGTGTCAAGCAGCTGGCAGCCATCCTCAAGTCAATGAGCGTAAACATCGATGACAAGGAGATGGCCATGGCAGTGCTCAACGGTCTGCCTGCCCGTTTCGAGGCTCTCATCGTTGCACTAGATGCTCTCGGTAATGAGGAAAAGATATTCAGTTTGGACTTTGTGAAAAGTCGTCTGCTGCAGGAAGAGCAACGAGCCAACATGAAGTCTAGCTCCTCACAGACATCGGCTCTGGTTAATCGTGCCCCGAACAATCGGGACATAAACGATTACAAATGCACGAACTGCGGTCATACAGGCCATACGGCAACCCGCTGCTGGGGAAAGGATTTGAATGGGCGTCGCCCGGCTCCTCCTAGCGGATATAAACCGCGTATGTCTCAGCGGAAACAATCTGCATTTGTCACACAGAAACCTGATCCCGACATGCTTGTAAACAGCGTCGACTTCACATGTCTGATGTCGAAAGCTTCGCACACGAACGATATGGAGATGTTGCCTTCGTGGCTCGTAGATTCAGCTTGTACAGCTCATATTACATATGACCGATCTCTGTTTGCAACGTATGAGCCACTTGAATCCGCCTCTGTGCAGATGGGAACCAAGGCTAGTGCAAAGGTTGCCGGCCGTGGTGACGTTCACTTGAAGTTAAATGTGAATGGCCGCATCGAACCGTGCAAGTTGACGGATGTATTGCACGTTCCGGACTTTGCGTTCTCTCTGCTCTCTGTCAGTCGAATGACTGAACTTGGACTAAAAGTTGGGTTCGAAAATGGAAAATGCATGATCAGACGAGGCTCCACTGCAGTGGCGACTGCGACATTGGTTGGAGAACTTTACGTTCTCGACATCGTCAGTGACATCGGATCTGCACATGCTGCCACCCTGCAAACGTGGCATGAGCGCTTTGCACATGTGCATTCTCAAGGTATTGCTTCGATGATTCGTGACAATGTGGTAAGTGGAGTCAAACTACTTGGTAATGAGGCTAACAAAATCAACAATACTGACAATGATTGCATCTCTGAAAAATGTTCTGCGTGCGTCTACGGCAAAGCCACTCGATCTGTGATCCCAAAAGAGCGGTCCTCGAGGCGGGCATACTTCTGTCTAGATTTAGTTCACTCTGATGTTTGTGGCCCCTTAGAGGTGCAGTCCATTGGTGGTGCCAAGTACTTCATTACCTTCATAGATGATCACTCAAACTGGTCAGTAGTGTACCCTATGCACCATAAATCAGAAGCATTTGAACGATACAAAATGTTTGCACAACTTGCTCAGACTCACACTGGTCGCAAGATCAAAGTGCTTCGCACCGATCGAGGTGGTGAGTATCTGTCCACGGAGTTTAAGTCTTTTCTGATTGCAAATGGTACTCAGCATCAAATGACGACCGCGTACACACCGGAGCAAAATGGCGTCGCCGAACGACTGAACAGAACTTTGGTAAACTTGGTGCGCTCCATGCTAGCGCACAAGAAAGTTACAAAGGGGTTCTGGGCAGAAGCACTTGCCAATGCAGTGTACGTTCGAAATCGAGTCACGTCACGTGCCATTCCCCCTAAGATGACCCCCTACCACTTATGGATGAAATCTGTGCCAAATGTTGGTCATTTGCGTGTTTTCGGTTCAAAGTGTTGGTATACATTACCAAAACACAACATCCAGAAACTTGACGCCCGTGCAAAGGAGGCAATGTTTCTAGGGTATGCTGAAAATACGAAAGCTTACAAGTTGTGGGATGGTGATTTGCACAAAGTGATCGTATCCAGAGATGTTACTTTTGACGAGTCCACGGGAGGCAAATCTGGTGAACCGATGGATACAAACAAGGAGGCTACAACTGATGATGACACAATCAACTTGAACATCGATGAGGAAGTTGCAGAAAATGATGCAGTGGCATCAGAAGTATCATCGCCGGATGAACAACAAGACTCTGATGAATCCTCCAACTCCTCCCTAACTGCAGGGGAGGACGAAACTACCGAAACAGTTGAGCAACACGTAGTTGAGGAAGAAACTATTGATCCGCCAACTAATCTCCGTCGGTCCACTCGCATTCGCAAAACGCCTGGGGCGTGGTGGGCAGCAGCTTTGGTGACTGCTGGACTCCTTAGCCA